AGGGACAGCAGTGCCATCCCCGGGTGGCACAAGCCCCGCACTGGGTGACACCGGGGGGAGTCTCCCCAGCCCCCCAGACTCCCCGGGGGGAGTCTCTCCACCCCCTCCCGTGGCGGTGATGCCAGGACCCAAACGGGGGGAGAGGGTCCTTTGGGGGATCCCCCCCAGGCTGTACGGGGGGGGGGTCTTATTGGTGGCCCCAGTTTAACCAGTAGGGCCTGATTTCCAGTGCCCACCGGGAGGGGTCTGGGGTGGGTTTGAGGGGTGCACAGGGGGGTGTTGGCACACGGGGGGTGGTCCCTGGGCACCCCCCCAGCCCGGTGGGAGCAGGGGGTGCTGAGGGGGGGTTGGGGGTGCCCAAAGCAGTTTGGGGGTGCCCCCCCATAGTGGGAAGGGTGGGGAAGGTGAAGGGGGGGAGGGGGGCAGTGGGAGTACCCCAGGGTAGTGCCCCCCCCCTCCCGCGGGGCTCCTGCCCCCATCCCAAGCCCCTCCCTCACTGCTGCTCCTTCCCACCCCACAGGGCTCCAGCAGCCCCCAATGCCCGGGGAGGGGGGGGCAGAGTGGGGGTCCCTTCTGCCCTGGAGCTCCATTTCCCCGGGGGGGGTCTCGGGGGGGTCCCTCCTGCCCTGGAGCTCAGTTTCCCCCTCCCCCCCTTGGGAAGCACATCCCGGTCCGTGCCGGGGGGGAGGGGCCGAGGAGCCCCCCCAGCCCGGGGGGGGGGTCCTGCCCCCCCGGCTGAGCCCCCCCCTCTCTGCAGAACTGCGGGGGGGGTCGGCAGCGCGGCCCCTGCAGTCGGCCCGGTCCCTGCCCGGGACCCCCCACCTCCTGAAGCACTTCCCGGTGGATCTGAGGACTTCCATGGACGGCAAATACAAGGAGATCGCTGAGGTGGGTCCTGGCGCTGCCCCCCACGGCACGGGGGGGTCTCCCCTCCGTCCTTCCTCCCCCCACACCTCCCCCCACACCTCCCCCACCCTTCCTGCCTCCCCCTTTCCAGGGAACCTTCCCAGCCTGGCTCCGGGTGCTGAGACCGGGCACAGCTCATAGCAGGGATGGGCTCGGCACAGCTCATGGCAGGGCTGAGACTGGGCACAGCTCATGGCAGGGATGGGCCTGGCAGGGCTGAGACTGGGCACAGCTCGTGGCAGGGACGAGCCTGGCACAGCTCGTGGCAGGGGTGTCCCCAGGAGCTGTGCTGGCACTGGCACAGCTCGTGGCAGGGATGGCAGTGACAGCTGGTGACAGGGCTGTCCCCTGGAGCCGTGCTGGCCTTGGCAGGGCTGTCCCTGTCCCCCTTGGTGACAGTGCTGTCCCCAGGATCTGTGCTGTCCCTCTCCCCGTGGTGACAGGGCTGTCCCCAGGAGCTGTTCTGGCCCTGGCAGTGCCCCTAGCCGGGCTGTCCAAGCTCCTTGGTGACATTGGTGTCCCCAAGAGCTCTTCTGGCCCTGGTAGGGCTGTCCCTGTCCCCCTGGTGACAGTGCTGTCCCCAGGGGCTGTGCTGTCCCTGTCCCTGTCCCCCTGGTGACAGTGCTGTCCCCAGGAGCTGTTCTGCCGCTCGCTGGCAGAGAACGAGATGCGGACGGCGCCGTACGAGTTCCCCGAGGAGAGCCCGATCGAGCAGCTGGAGGAGCGGCGGCAGCGCCTGGAGCGCCAGATCAGCCAGGACGTCAAGTGAGCGCGGGGGTCCCGGCCCGGGGGGTCGGGGGTGATGTCCCCGCGGGGGTGGGTGCTCCGCGCTGTGTCCCCTCCCCGTGGGTGTGTCGCTGGTGTCCCCTCCCTCCCCGTGAGCTCCTGGCCGGGTTCCGTGTGTGCTCTCGGGGGGTTTGTGGCATTAACGGGGTGTTTTCTCTCCCCGGCCCCCCCCCGTCTCTGTGTCCCCCCTCCCCTCCCCCGCCAGACTTGAGCCCGACATTTTGCTCAGAGCCAAACAGGACTTCCTGAAAATTGACAGTGCCGCCGACCTACAGTGAGTGTGCGGCCCGGGGACACCCCGGGGACACCCCGGGGACACCCCGGGGACATGGGGGGCTCTGGGGACCCCCCGGCCCCGCCCCTGCCCCGCCCCCCTGCCCAGAGCCCAGGGGTCTGTCCCCCCCCTTGCTGGCACCGAGGGACCCCCCACCCCGGGGAGGGGTCATGGGGGAGCTGGGGCAGCCCCGGCCCCCCGTGCTGGCCTGTCCCCCACCCCGGGGTCCAGCTGTGTGTCCCCTCCCTCCTGTCTCCGCTTTGGGGTCACGTCTGTCACGAGTTGGTTCGTCCTCTGTCCCTCTGTCCCTCTGTCCCCCCCCACTGCTCGTTGTGCTCGACGGGGCTGGGGGGGGACACGGAGGGACATGGGGTGGGGACAGATGTGCACACTGGACATGGGGGACACAGGGCGGGGACAGATGTGGCACTGGACATGAGGACATGGGAAGGGGACACGTGTCACTGGACACTGGGATACTGGGATGGGGACAGATGTGGCACTAGACATGGGGATGTCAGGATGGGGACACACTTGTCACTGGACACCAGGACACCAGGATGGGGACACATGTGTGACTGGACATGTGGCCATGGGATGGGGACACGTGTGGCACTGGGCATGGGATGGGGACAAACCTGTCACTGGGCGTGGGGACATCGGGGTGGGGTCAGACCCTGTCACTGAATACTGGGAGCACTGGGATGGGGACAGACCTGTCCCTGGACACAGGATGGGGACAAACCTGTCACTGGACATTGGGATGGGGACAGACCTGTCACTGGATACTGGGAGCACTGGGATGGGGACAGACCTGTCACTGGACATTGGGTTGGGATAGACCTGTCACTGGACACGGGGACATCGGGATGGGGACACGTGTGTGCCTGGACGTGGGGACATGGGATGGGGACACGTGTGTCACTGGGCATGGGGACACCGGGATGAGGACAGATGTGGCACTGGGATGGGGACAGACCCTGTCACTGGACACTGGGACACTGGGACACTGGGACACTGGGA